ATCTGAAGGGAAGAAGCGCTCGTTGATCACCAATTTCAGTCAAAAACACACTCATCATTAATTATAACCTTTTATTTGAGGGTGATTGGAGATGATGAAGCAATCAGCAGCCAACCAGCTGATTACACCAGCAGCTGCCTCTGACTCCCGTCTCCTGTGTGATGCCTCTGCTGTGTACACACAATACATCACAATACAAAACACTACATAAAGATACAGTATTCAACAAAAGGATATGTGACAGTACAGGATGTAAAAATACACTAAAAGTTTACATAATGATATGACACATAACAAGATAATATGTGACAGTTCAACACTAAATGATCGGACAATTAAAATTAAATAAACACGTGAATGCAAAATTCTTTTAACACCACTATTTTTTTAATGGATGATTGACACACACATGTTTTGTAATCTTTGTTATATAGTCTGTACGTCTGTGACATGACGACCCCAGGCCTGCTGTGACAGTCAAAGTCTATTAAATGTGATGTAACTGCAGTACCAACAAGCGCCACTAGATGGAAACTCACAGCGTTGTTGTAAGACATTATATTATTCTTCTTTACAAATGCAGACGGTTATTATACACCCCCCCTTTCATGTGTCTTGTTGACATTATACTCCAAAGCAATTCCACCTCTGGAAGGTCCACATGAACAAACTAGATGGCGCTATGTTTCAAGTTTGGAGAAGTGACGACGAGAAAGGGACGCTTGCTCTGATTGGATAGAATGGGACTAACTTTTTGGCAAATACTACCAACTCCAGGTCTGACATGCCTTTAACTGCGGTCAGCAGAACATTTATGCGGTTTTGTGTGGATGGGATTTTATTTGAAACTGATAATGTGTGTACGTATCATTTTTTAATATATGGAGGGGGTTGGATATTCGTTATTAAAAATACCTGGCGACGTGTGTAGGCCTACATGGCCTTCGAGTATATGGATCAGAGAAGCTAGATAGATCTTGCAGTTAAGTAGCATTGGTTTCAATAAAATTGTTTCAGTTTTATCCATAGTTGTGGTGTATGAGGTCTAATGTTTTGTGCTGAGCTGTATTGAAATTCTGTTTTGTCTGAAATTGTCTGTTTAACTGTGTTTCATGTTACTAGTTTTGTGGCCAGTGGCTGGTTGAAATCTGAATAATGTTTGGATAAATAAAAGTTTTTTTTAATTTAGTTGTATAACATCTTTAACTCAGCTTTGTACAATGCTGTCTCTGTCTGCAGACGTCAGACGCTCAGTCGCCACAGAAGTACGCTTTATGCAAAGCGGTGACACACAGACACTGTTCGCTGTCTTGGTCTTCATAAACAGAGTTGGGGAATATGCAAAGCTGATTGTAGACAGGCAGCAGGATCCACAATATTAGCTTCGTTTTTCAGATACTGATGTTCAAAGTGATGCACATTTGAGAGTAAGAACAACACAAGCAAAGATCTGGAGAGAAAAAAAAAAGAAAAGAAAAAGGACGAGGAAGAGACACAAACTGCTTTTAATCCATCTAACATCACTCAAAGTGATTCTGCCCTGAACTTCAAGGGTTTTTAACTTTAAAACAGATTAGTTAACAGTAAGTGTAGCTCCCGTACAGCTGTTTGAAGATAGAAATGAGCTCAAGAGACCATTATTGAGTTCAGGATGCAGCTGTAAACCTGTTTAAATGCCCTGTGAAGTTGGATGTTTGAATTATGGCTCTATGGGAGACTGAGACTTTTGAAAGGAGCCTTGAATGAATCCTTTAAGTTGGGTTTGTGCCTCTACACTGGAGGTTGTCATTCTGTTTAAATGCTGAAGCTGCAGGGGATGTCCTCATTGGTAGAGGTGGGCAGGCTGATATATGTTAGTGTTGGACAGTTTGTGGGGACAGTCAGACTGTCTGAGCGGTGACTTTGTGTCCCTGGCTCTTTCAGAGCGATGGCATGCAGAGGCTGTAAATGGATCCAAGTCTTCTTGCCTCTCCCTTTTGTTTCAGTCTTTGCCTTTAAACTCATGTCCTGACAAGAGTATTTAGCCAGAGGGAAGCGTATCAAATCTGCAGAGAGATTTTTCATCCCACACAGTTTGAACAAAAGACAGAAAATCCTCTTCATCTATGCTTTTTCCCTCCATCCTCCTCTTTCTGTAGTCAGTCACTGCCGGCGGTCGCTCTTTGACGGTTACTGTGAAAAACTCATCCTCTCCTACACACACACACACACACACACACACACACACACACACACACACACACACACACACACACACACACACAGGATCGCACTGTCTCACACACTCTCGGTCAGTAAAGACTGCTGCTGTGAACACAGAGGGGCTGGCAGAGGAGAAGCTCACATTAAATCATGTCCTTGAGTTTCTAAAGGGAAACAGAAACAGAAGATCGGGTCAGTCACAAAGTCAGGCTACAGATTTTCTGATTCAGGACCACTCCGTGAGCCTGAATATGAAGCTGCTCCTCGAAATCTTTCTCACAACATTTACACTGAGAAACTTTTGGCTCTTGCAGATATTTATGTACGTATAAATCCAGCTCTGAGGATTCCTCCAGCTCAGAACAGCTGTTGGCTTTGTGACTCTTTTCAAAGCTTTGAGCCTCTTCATTAATGTGATCGGAGTCGTTGGTCTACCACCGCCTTAACCAGCAGGTTTCCTTCTGTTTCAGCTATTCGTTGGATCTAGCACTTAAAACACCTTGGTCAAAAATAAGTTAATAAAAACATACAAATTCTGACTGATGCACATCTGAGCAGTATATACCTAATTTTTTTGGGGGGGGGGGCTGACGTCAGATCCGGGGGAAAAGTCACTAATGTCACGTCCTGTAACATCAAATCTGGTAATTAGCCATGAGGCGACATAATATCCATTATATGTTGTTTTTATTGGTTGAATTTGGGCATCCATGCTGCAGTCTCAACTCCAACAAGTTACACATGACCTCCTGCTGTTAGGACTCCAGTAAGGCTGACAACAGCCATATTTGAGAAAAGTGCAGGATCATTAGTCCTGACAATTTTTTTAGTACATGTTCCAGTTGTAGTTATTGTAGCTTCAGGGACAATGCTAATTTTGTGTTCACCATGTAAGTTGTGGAGAAAAGAGGATTAAAAGAATCACTTAAAGTTAGGTAGGCATATACAGTTTGAAGACTCCACATAGAGGTGTGATTTGAAAATGACATAACATCTCAGCTGGCTCACTGCTGGCAACAAACTCATAAGACAGCTGCCAAAAAAACTACATCATGATGCAGAGTTGTAAAACGTCAAACTTTGTCAGCCTGCAAGACGAGACAAGTTAACTTCTTTAAAGAGCTTGTTTAATTATGTTTGGATCAGATAGTCCTGCTGCAGCCTCAGGATACCAGATTCTGCACTCTACACAACTTCACTATCATTTCTCTGCACAGGTACTTTTGAACACTCGATCCAAAAATCACTGCAGTTACATCAGTTTTTGTAATGGGTGTGCTGCACAATCAGCATTGCCATTTTGTGAATATGAAATGTGCATTTGTTTGTGGTTAGTCTCACTGTCTCTCCCAAGTTTTACTGTAGGTTGTAAGTTACTTTTAGGCTTCACTGTAGCTCACAGTCTATGTGTTTGTGGTGAGTCTCAGTTTCACTGTAGATAGTAAGTCACACAAAGACTTCACTCTTACCTGCTCCAGTCTGGACCTGAAAAAGAAACAAACTTTTTTTTTTTGTTGAAATAACAACATCATGAAGCAGATTAGCAAAGACTAAAAATTCAAGTTTTGTTAGGTCTGTCCTCAAGAAGAGAAGAAAACCACTTTTCTAAATGTTGTTTGTAGAACGTAGGTCAGATCCATCATTTCTGGTGCATTCAGGGAAGTCAGGGTGTCTATTACAGTATTTGAGTATTCCAGCTCGTGTTTCCAGCACCACAGTGACGTGCAGATGTATTGCATCATATTTGACAGGTGTTTCATGATGAGTCATTATTTGGTTTTGGAGGTTGGGTAACTTCTGTCTGGGAAACTATTTTGTAATCATAAGGATGATAAAGGGAAACCCCAGACTTTGTAAATGCTGGTAAAGTTCCTCTGTGTCATCTGGATCCTGGCAGGTCCTCATAGGTCCTGGTATACAGTAAAGCCATAACAGAGACCTACAGGGATGTTTAATCATGTTATCAGGGAAAAAAGCATGTAGTTAAACAGGGTTTCCGATATTCAGCACTCACTAGATTTTATCAGCCTCAGAAGAAGCTCATGGAGCTGCAGACTATTCACGCTGGGACATGAAGAAAGTGTTGAGGGCTGACCTGCTGTTTTATCTCAGGTCTGAGGTTAACCTGACGGAGGCTGCAGGGCACCAACTAAGTGATTGTTACCATTAACGCCCTGTTCTTTCTATGTGCTGCCTTTTAATGCAGCTTTATGGCAGACTCAGTCATCCCTCACATACATAGCTGCTGTGTTTGTCAAAGTATAGGATCAACCCCAACTCTGACAGGTGATGTGAAAAAATACATTAACAGACCAGATCTCCTTTGAACATCATAAAGAAAATTGAGACACTTTGAATAAAGCAAAATGTGTTGTTTTAACATCTTTTAAATTGAAAGCATCTTTTACATTAAAGTATTAAATCATGTGTGAATTAAGTGCAGCACTTTTCAAACATTTTCAAACATACCAGACTACTTTCCTCCTCTTTCTAGAGGACAAAACTAAGCGCTAACACTGATCCTGATCTCGTGAACATGTGAGCAGAGCCGGATCCTGGAAAGAAACAGGAAAAGAGAGATCAGAGGATCAGGAGGGGGCGAGGCCCGGCGTGAACAGGTATCAGCCTTTCTGCTGTGTCATGGTTAGCTTGCATCAGAGCAGCCTGACACCTCTCACCTGTGAGTCACAGCTGGTTTGGAGGAGAGGCAGACGCTCAGAGGTAAATAAAAGACCTGAGACGTGGAGCGGGGGGAGGGCGGAGGGAGAACACAAAATTAAACACAGGACGAGCCGGCAGAACGGGTGAGAACACTGAAGTTTAGAGAGGAGCACAGAGGGCCTGCAGGGTGGGAATTATTAGTGAGTGAGGCATGAATGAGGGGGAGAGGGGGTGAGAAGGGGTGAGGAGGTCTCTCCTCTCAGGAATTTACTCTAACTCTCAGTCTCACAGCTTTGCCTGCTTCAGTCACAGACTGAGAGAGTCCAGGAGAGACCAGAGGGACAACATCCAGAGGAGACACTCTGTGAGGACAAGGAGAGATACAAAGACAGACTGTGTGGGTCTAATAAAGACAGGGACACACTGTGTATGTGTGTGTTAGTTGGCTGTGTCTGATAAAGACAGTCTGTGTGTGTTTGCGTGTATGTGTGTGTGTGAGTGAGTGTGTATGAGCTGTGTCTAAAAATGACCAAAAGGTGTTTAGCAGCTCAGAAAGAGGACAGAGCAAATGGACTCACCATGTCCCCAGAAAAGGACCAGAAGAAGAAGGTGGGTCTGGGCAAGAAGGTGACTCTGCTGCGAGGCATCTCCATCATCATCGGCACCATCATTGGCGCCGGGATTTTCATCTCTCCAAAGGGCATTCTCAAACACTCGGGCAGCATTGGCATGTCTCTGATCGTCTGGATCGCCTGCGGCGTGCTGTCACTCTTTGGTGAGTCAGATCTGAAAAGATGTAGAGTTTATATTTTACTTTGTGAGAGAAGCAGTGAAGGTGAAACATGCCTACAAACAGATAGAGTAAAATAAACTACTGAGAGAAGATAATATAAAATGATTAAAAACTAAAGTGAAGCATCTTCTCCGAGAGAGAGGGACAAAGGCTGCTTTCTAAAATATGTCAAAATAAAAGTTTAAAATAGAGTGACAGCAAAAGCCCAGACACTGAAAAAAAGGGATAAATAACAGGTTTATCTTCTTCTTACTATCACTTTGAATCTCTGTATCACAGCAAATATATGGACCATGCTGTGAGTACCTGACTTCCTGCTAATACATAGACTCATGGCTTACAAGATTAAAAAACAAAGAGCATTAATTTTTATTAGATAAAGACATTTCAAATAACCACGACTAAAACACACTATGACTCTAAACTCTGCCTGCTGTGCATCCTCATGAAAAATATCAGTACCTAGAGAGTCAGTCTGTACCTTCATATACAGGCTGCTATTACACAAGACATGTATTTTATTTGTCTTCTCTTTAAAAAATATGCTTCCTGCTCTAAGACTTCTGACTTCACTCCAGGAAGTCATAAACTGTAGAATTTGCCACATTTGTCACAAATGATTCAAACTTTCTCTTTCCACCCAACTCATTTTACAGTGTTTATGAACAATCTGTATCTGCGTCAGGATGAGAGCTCACAGAGCAGCTCTGAACAGCAGAGAGTAAAGATGCAATCAGTTAACGATAATCTCATTCACAATACAATAAAACAATGGAGCAATCTGCACAAACTGTGTGACTACTGTGTGGTCACAGTGAGCTCACCTTTGAGTTTTTCTCTGTATTAGGAAAAATGAAAAATGCTGCCAGCCAACGACTGAAAGCCGGCTTACTCTTACTCATGTAATTGTGTAATTCTCATAATCCCAGTCATTATGAGGCCCTGTTGCAGACTGGATTCTGGTCTTTATTTGTGAATTTCATTTACAGTCTGCACCCCTCCCCCCTGTACAGTGTGTGAAGAGAGGAATGATCAGACTGAGATCCCCTTTGAAACCACACTGTGAGCATGTTTATTTCTGCTCTAAATAGGGTTTTTTGATTTTTTTTAATACTTGCACCAGAAATATGTAAATATTACAGTACAGTTCCCTATAACCCGCTATTAGTCATACAGCTGTGACGTATGTTCAGCCACAGCTAGCTGTCAGCAAACTAAGCATGCTCACGTGAGTGAGGTACGGGCAATAAAGCGCTAGGTAACCAAAACAAACCAGTAACTCTGCTCTGTGAAAACACTTCGTTTTATTTGTGTTTTCTTTTTTTGTTGTGATGTGAAGCACTTAGTGTCACATTAATGTTTAAAACTCAGTATTTATAAAGCCTTATTGAATGATTTGCTGTCAGCCATCAGCATACTGTGAGGCGTGACTGTGTTTGTCAGCACAGTTTAATCAGAGGAACATGTCAGGAATTAACAAACATTACTTTGTTATTGAAGGGTGAAACACCAACCTCCACTGACCTGAGCTGAAGTCTTTGCATGCACATCTGTATATTGTTGCATATATTGTTGCAGAAGCCTTAAATCCTTCTGTTTTTGTGCAGTTATGAAAAGTCCAAGCACATTATCCTCACTGAAATCCTTCCCTGCTCCCCTAAGTCTTTCTCCCTAAACTTGTAATTAAAATCCATCCCCCTAAACCCCCCCCTCTTAAGGCTCGAAAGGCTCCCACAGTCATAGATCAGATGATGATGGGGCCTGAAGAGGGACAGCCGAGTTTTATAGAAGCACCTGAGCCAGTTTTACAGCCTGTGTGACTGCTGTCCTGTTTTTGAGCAAGAGATGTATCTGTCCCCTCTGTCCCTGCAGGAGCGCTGTGTTATGCCGAGTTGGGCACCTGCATTAAGAAGTCTGGAGGCCACTACACTTACATAATGGAAGCTTTTGGACCTCAGATGGCCTTCATACGGCTGTGGGCTGACCTCGTTGCCATCAGGTAACGTCTGCATCCTCGGCTGATAGCAGATGATAGCACCAACACCATGTATTATCTTATGTTTACTGCTGAATCCTACGACTGTATTTTGTACTGCATACATAATGGATACTGTTTAGGCTTTATTCATACTTGTTGCTGACATTATGCTCAGTGGCATCAAATGGAGGTGGCATAAAAAATTCCTTGGCTGTGTAAAATCTTTCTTTCTCTGAGTGTATTTTAGAGAGTGCAGTTTAAATAGATCATGCCGATACCTCATGCTGTAGTTTTTGGCCTGCGTAGAGCTGAGGTGAAGTAGAGAGTGTTGGTGGCTGTGTTTTCAGGCATCCCTGGATCAGCCCCATGGAGAGAGCAGTAAAATTAAGAAGAACAGAAACTGTATTCACAGTAACTCTTTTTACATGGGTATGTTGAATAACATAGCCTGCATACATACATGAAGAGCCAAGGCAGGGAGAGCAACAGCAAAGCCTCCTGAGGTGCCACACAGTGTTTAAAGGGGGAGCAGGTGTGGCAGTGGGTTGCAAAGTGGTTTAAAGAGGAAGAGTTGGCAGGCTGAAAGTGAACACAACATTTTCACATTTGACTGTTGGATGGTCGATGCTAATTGGCTGAACTAACACTCAGTTCAGTTTTATCATGAGTGGGAGCACTGCTACACGTCTCCATTATAAAATGCAGAGAAGTGTACACTGTTAAGTCTTCCATCTGTCCTACGCTCAAATGAGGCCTGCAGACTGTAGACCAGGTTTTGGCTGGTGTATGGTGCAGATGCCCTCAGCCTCCTCCCCACTTTTGCCCCTTACCGCACCTCATTTTAGTGCCAATGCACTTTAAGCGCATATTCACCCTTCATTTTTATGACATGACAGCTGGGCTTAAAAATGACGAGAGTAACAGGTTTAACATGACTGACATTTGCAGTGCGTGCCTGGATGGATTGTGCTGGGTGTATGATGGGACCCTTAGGCTTTAGGTTTACAGGTTGGACAGGTTGGAGCTGCTAGATGTCTGCTTAAAGTCACCTTCACTAATTCACTCAATTAGCTGTAAAGGTGAGTTTGTGATGTTGAAGAGATTGTAAAAGAGTCCGTGAGTTATTAACTTGACATTTTTAAACCCCTCTCTGACCACCAAACGTGCACCTCCGACACCACCACCCAAAAAAACAAACAAAAAAAAAACAACAAAAAACAAACAAACAAACAAAAAAAAACACAACAATGCCAAAATGTAGATTTTAAGGTTTTAAAACTGGACCATGAGACCACACAGAGACTATGTCCACTTTTACTGTCAGATGCTGTTTGCAACTAGAAGAATGACCCCTGTTGCACATATATGGGAACGCAGGCTGCAGGCTTTTCATCACTGTCTGCAGTTTAAAACTATAGTGCGTAACATCTATCGGCCCCTAGAAGATTTCTGCGTACAACAACAATACGGCCAGCACCTCAATATGATGTACGGCCCGGTGTAACCTGTACATGGAGTAACACTCGCGACACACCGCATACTGCTTATCACGGTACACGGACTGTAACTGTCTACGCAACGTGTTGGCTACTAAAGTTACTCGTCACAGCACACAAACTTCCCGTAGTAAGTAACACACCACAACACAGGCTACACGCCTTGTAACTTACTGCTCATAAGGCTAACATTACACAATGTGGCAAACACCAAGCTGTCAACAATACATTACATTCATAGCACCATTTCAAAGAAAATAATACAGTACTCAGTCCAGTACATGTAACAGCGACACATCCTGCTTGTAATGAACAGAGTTAATAACTTATCTAGTATTATCAAGGCAACATCGGTGTCAGACCTCAGTCCAATCTCCTCCTTCAAGTAGAAGTTATGCACTATAGCTTTAAAATAAAGAAGTTATTTTCAGTTATGGTGCAGCGTCTGTGGATGTAAAGACTGTTCATTTATACATACATTGTTTACAGCATACAGGTGAAAAAATGAAGATATGTGAGGTGAATTTTGGTGTACTGGGACAGACTCCCGTGCTATTTTAAAACTTGCTGCTTGAGACTTTGGGGACGGTTTTGTTCTGTAAACTCTGAATTAAGCCTCTGTCACTCTGTTTTTGGGAAATCAATCCAGTCTGAGCTATTTGAACATAACGCACTGAACCATGTTGCTGGTCCGGGCTGCAGGTCAGGCTTCTTGGTGCGTTGGCTCTGCCTCTGAACAGTTTGTCTGTGACCCTGTGAGGGTGCTGAGGTTATTTCAGAGCAGTGAGGTGAGGAAACGCTCCATGTGCAGCTGTGTGTGCACTCAGCCAAAGCATAGCAGTAAAAACAGTCTGGTGGCCATCCTGAGCCGTCCAATCCAGGGCTGGCCTCAGGCTAGAGGAGCTGAAACCATGGGAAATGAAGGCCGGCAGAGGAGCAGAATGAAAACAGAGAGCGAGAGATAACCGATCAGCTGCACAGGCTCTGACCACTGAGAGAAAAACCGCTAGACCTCTGGATGATCTGCACAACCTATTTCTTATAAAGCTGATCACTGTCCACAGCTTCAGTGAGGGATTATACGAGGTGTTTGTGTGTCACATACTAGAAACACACACACCAATCTGCTGAATAAGCACCTCAATCTGGCTGCAAAGAGGTTTACTAAAAATTCTCTGAACAGACTAATCAGGGTGACTTAATGTTTGGCTGAAGTTTTAAACTGAGCTTAGACAAAAATAAAAGATCATTTACAGGATTTTGACCCTTCAGGGTCCAGGTCTCTGGGTTCAAAACGTCCCCTCAAAAGTCTCCTCCTGCATAAACTCAGTCTGGACGGTTTTCCTGCTGCTTCCACTCAAACAGTTATCTGATTGAACATGCTGCTGTACTCCGTCACTCTATCTATAGTATACAGACAGATCAATTCCACTCTAGTTCCTTCAAAATAAGAGCCCTCCACTGAATAATAGCACACTGCAAGTTTTTTTGCAAAAAAATTAACCTGAAATCATTGAAATCATTGATCGGTTATCTCTCTTCAGTTTATCACTCCGTTCGTCAGACTGCACACACCTTCATGGTCACATATTTTATGTCGCAGCCAAGTAAAAGAAATCCACCAAGGCCACCAAGAAACTTTCCTGTGCATCCTAAAGGAGCCTACTGAAAAGGATGTATTTGCACTTCTACAACTTATTCTATGTTCAAAGCTGCTTCGCTCCACTTTCAGACCCTCAAAGGCATATTTTAGTATTTCTGAAGTGGGGGAGTGTTTTAGCCACAATAGCTGTTTTTTTTGTTTTTTTTTAGCTCAGCTGCTTTATTGAGAAGCTGACAGGAAAACCTGCATGCAAGCTAGGCTACAGCTTTCAGCAGATGGGGCAATTTTGCCACATAATTTAGAATCTGGCCCAAACACTAATGTTTAAGTGTACGCTCCACTGACATATTTTTCAACACTTTACTCTGCCAACTATATCTGACTTATCTCTAACGAAAACATGGTCCAGTATCTTCTCTCAGTGAGCTCAAGTTTGGTTTACAGCAGCTCCAGTCTGTGTAGATGTAAATGCTCCACTAGCTGTTCTGTAAGAGGTGCTGAGCTGTTATTATAATCCTACGTGTGTTATTACTGTGGGTCATTTCTTGAGTATTACATTAAACACAGGCTAACAGATACATTACGCCTGTATTATACAATTAGTGATGATCTCATGGCTCACCTGTGTGTGTGTTTGTGTGTGTGTGTGTGTGCGTGCATGCGTGCATGCATGCGTGTGTTCCTCTCTGTGTGTCCTCTAGGCCTGCGGGGATGGCGGTCATCTCTCTGGCATTCGGTCAGTACATCCTGGAGCCGCTCTTCATGCCCTGTGGGATCCCTCCTATGGCCATCAAACTGGCTACTGCCATCGGCATCAGTATGTACACCTGAACTCACCGTAAACTCAAAACAAACAAACATGCACTTGATTCAACATTTATGCAAACACTGAAGCCGTTCTCTGATACCAACCTGAGCATAGACTGTACAATAAATGGACATAGCGTCAGTGACATCACCTGTTTGTTTCTGAAGCAGAGCTTTAAAGCCCATGTGTGGTGGTCGCCACATTGGTTCGGTGACTTTCATCAAACTACCAGGGCAGGGCCTCCTGCTCACAGCTACAGTGTATCCCCTCTCAGTCAAGTCAGCTGTGCCTCTGATTCGCCAATCTTATAACCTTTAAAGTAAACACATAACAGCGCAGAGCTGAGTTTAATAGATCTGCCCTCTGTCACCGATACCTGATCTGTTAAACTCTGGGTCAGTATCTAAGTTATATATGCATCTCTAGTTATAAGGAATGCATATTTTACTATTTGACCTGCTGTACCAGCAGCTGTAGGTCTATAAAAAACAGGAGATAATAACAGGTATTGAAGTGTGAAACAGCCAGAAACATAGATGTCCGCTGACTGAAGTACTAAATACAGACTGTAAAATAAAAACGCACACTTTTACAAGCGCAGACACCACAGTGACTTAAACATGTGTTAGAAAGTCTGAGGAGACATTTTCTGGAGCTGTACTGTAACCTGACTGCTAACATTTCATCATCTCTATGATAATTCACTCCTCCCATGATGACACACACAGTTCATGTAAGAGGGAGAGAGATTGCTGATTTGTGTGTGAATAATGATGCAACATGTGTCAGAGTTACATGCTGCTGGCGTGCAGGTGTGTGAACAGTCTGTACTGGTTGTGGTTTTGTGATAGTTCATCTCTGTGACAGCCTGTGTTAACATTCATTGACGGGTATTTATTTTCATCTGTACCCTTGTATGAAGCTTTGTGGTTGTGGTTAAATAATGGTCATGTTTCTGGCAGACAGATCAGGCATTGGTAAGGTTAAAAAAGTTGTTTTAACAGTTATAGTAATTTTGAATCTTTGTTGTCTTTTCGTCTGGTCTGTCAAACACGATCAGCTCAGCATCCAACAATCTTAGAGGGAAACAACAACATGCTGTCAAATTATTTCATAGAATATCAGGTTTACTAAAAAAATATCTCCTTTAAACTCAGCCAAGATAATAATGTGCAGCCTTTAGAAAAATCAACAAAAGAGAAAATCAATTTTCAAAACCAGTCACAAACCAAACAGTGACAAAGGTAACACTGCGCCCCTCTGCTAACTCAGCCTGTTACAGGAACACAGTGAACATGTTTTGGGTGACTCACAATGAGGAAAGACATCAAACTATCACAGCATTATTAGGGCCACCAAGGCACTGTGGAATTTTTTTCTTATTCCTCTTTGAACAAATTCCGATTCACAACTATTCCTACAGCTTGAAGAGTTGTAGGACAAACTATATATCAAAACAGCGGTTTGACCAGGATCGGTGTGCTATTACTTTTCTCTATTGCATCTGAATGAAAAAAAAATGTTTAAAAAATTGTATTAAGGTCAATGGGACAAGCCCAAAAAAGGGCAATTATTGGAGTTTTTCAAACATCTACTACTCCAGCTCTATTTTTTGTATTAAAAAAAAATACTTGATAAATGAATGTTTGTTGTAGGTGTGCTCCTTGTACTTGTATATAATATCACAATGCTACTAGGATTGATTTTTTTTGAAATCTCAGAAAAACCTCATCTTGATGTACACACTCCGGCAGTCGGCCCTGTGGCCCTTTTAAAATTTCCCAGACGGAATTTTCGTGTTTAGATTTATTGTATTAGACAAAAAATGGCTGATTATGGAGAAACAGAAAAGAGATAAGATAAGAGGACATTTATTTATCTCTAAGGGAAAATTTGATAGCATATCCAACACGTACTGTATATGACAAAAGTCTGAGTAATGACATTGTTTTACCATCGCTGTTTTATCATTTCAGGAACAGTTGTGTTCCTTGATTGATAAAGTTGTGAAACAGAAACATTATAGTGTGGTGAGTGGTCTGAACAGATATCTTACATTCATTAGCTCCTATTCATGACTTTGTGCGCAGTTAGATGATTAGCACTCTCTTCAGGAGATGCTCTGTGTGTGGTCAGATTACACAATGTTTCTACCACACCAGTCATTGTTTCAGATAAGATCATAGAGACGGATAATCACGCTGTGACATGACCAACAGACATGACAGACTGCATAATGGTATGAGATCGATTACTACCACTGACCGAAGGAAGAGGGCCAGGGCAAGACGACACCTGGAGACATTAACACTAAGGCAGGGAGAGAAACATGTTATGATGTGTTCACACCAAACACAAACACAATGATATACTCGCTTAATTTGCCTGTATAGATCACATCTGCAGGAGTGCCCAAAGAAGCTGAGTAACTGCAATAGAGGAGGGGTTCATGTCAGTCTGTTTACATCAAATGTGCTTGAGGTTAGCCACTAGTGAGGATCTGCTGTGTTTAAACAATTTACAATATGAACCAACCTCCTCAGACACTTTCCTTCGAGCAAGCAAGTTTTTACACCTGCCTGATATTAAAAACAAGTTTGATCCTACAGCTCATGGAGCCACATACAACCACAATCACTTAACCCTATTTTCTGACTCAATGGGCTCTATTTTCGTGTCCGCCGGTGAGGCGGCGGAGAGTGGCGGACCCCGCGCAGTGGTATTTTCGTCTGGCGCAGCTGGTCTAGTGGTATTTTGGTAGACCTGTGGCGTATTGGCATACGTCACCGATGCCCCACCGGCAGGTTTCCACAAAATACCAAATTGTGCTTGGGAACGCCTTGTCGGCGCGGCGGACTTGACTTATGCCGCGCCAGCGAGGCGCGAAAATAGAGCCCCATGTCTGCTGGTCCGGAAAATGTCACTATGCTGCTTAGCTATATGATTTTCTTGAGTTCTGATTTTTCATCTCTAACGCATTAGCGAGTGAAACGACTTGTGCGATGCAAAAATGTATCATTTGCATGAGAAAGTTATGTGACAAGTGAAGTGAGTGGACTGAAACTTTCCCCGCCTACTGCAGTTTGATGAACTACTGCTCAACATTCATCAGCTTCACCTCCAACTTGATAAAGTCAGAATCAGCCAGCATGGTTTCCTGTGCACAAAAAAGCAGAGAGTGATCGAGAAATCACACTGCCATCTAGTGTTTAGGTGGAATACTGCAGAGTGATGCCGAAAAGCCAGAACACAAGTATGCAAAGCTCAAGTCAGTGTGAGCCACTGCAGGGAAGAGTCAGCAAACGAGTGGAATAGGCTCAGATAGATAGAAAGAATTTTATTGTCATTGAGACAAGCACAACGAAATTAAAAAGTGCCTTTACAGTCAGCGCATTAAAGTAAAACAGTAAAACAGTAAAAACAGTGCAGAGTTAAAATTAGTAAAAGAATTAAAACTACAAGGTCTTCATCTAGAAATTCTTCAGAGCTTTTCCCACAGAAAGTCACTTTGTTTTAGCACACTCAACCACAAATATGCAGGACAGTTAAACTGTGAGAACATGACATGACTCCCCCCTCTTTATCTCTCCTACTCCCCTTTCCCCTCCAGCCTCTGTAATGTACCTGAACAGCATGAGTGTGACATGGACAGCAAGGATCCAGATCTTTCTGACCTGCAGTAAGCTTCTCGCCATCGCCATCATCATAGTACCTGGGATGTACCAGTTGTTTAAAGGTGAGTGACCTTCACCATGATGACCTCTAGTAAACCTCTCTGAGAGCCTAACCACAGCCTGAGCCTGAGCCTGGGGAGTCAGCGCTGTGTTCAGGAACACTGCGTGACTTCACACTGAGCCATCAGCTGAAACAATGAACATGGTGTGTTCAGTCTTACACAATGTGGTGTGCTGTAAATATGACCTCGAGGCCTTACAGATGAAGATACACAGCTGCTCTCAAGAACACTCAGCACACACATTTGTAACGTCCCATCAGCAGGTGACACAAAGACAAACACACACACTCTTCTGATGACCACGCTCCATAGGTGATAATACATGTGTCTGATAGTGTCTAATACTCTTTTTAATATGTTATTTAACAGCCATTACCTACTAGATATCAATTAACTCCAAATTTTTCATCCTTCATTATTCACATTTGTCTTCTTTCACAACAGTTTAAACCAAACCACTTCCAGATTCAGGGCTTTATTTTTGTGGTCTGATTAGATTAAATCTGTAGGACTGGTTCAAATATGGGGAATGGGTTGTCAAAATAATAATGATAAAAAGGAGTCTTCAGGCGGATAACATCTGGTATTACAGTCTTTATTTTCACCTGAATAAAATCTTTGCCCTGTGTTGTGTTTTTGGGATGACTTGGTTAAAAAAATATCAGGATTTGTTGTGTTGATCACTGCGAAGTTTCAACGTGTATCAAAAATACTTGTTCTCAGTTACCGCCAGATCTCAGCTGACTTTCATTCCTGTGAGGCCAACTTTGCCCCAACGGTCAGCTAATTTAATTTAAAAAAATAATTATATCGTCTCAACCCGATTGAATCAGGGCTTTTTAAAACCATGTTAACATGTTAGTCTGATTGAAACTGCACTGAAATCAAACTTGGTTTGACTAACATACCTGGATAATGCGGTTGGGAATCGATTCTCTCTGCCATGTGTACGGCTCAATTGAACTGAAACTAGCCTAAACATTTTGCAAATGCTCCAGTCTCTGAGCCGCTGGTTTAATAGCATAGATTCATTGCCTGTAAATTTGGATAAGGACAGCAGTCCACTTAAATTTCCGAATCAAGCTGGAACTATGGAAACATACTGGATTGCCTATACCATTCCATGCATACAAATGCAAATGTTGCAAACAATACCTGCACAAAGAGATACAATTTTCTCTGCAGCAGTTTGTGGTGTGTTTTGTCCTTTGTGTGTGCTTCATGAATTACACAGTGTGTTTGGCTCATTTGAACAAGATTAGCTGCACAGTCTTGAGGGAGAAATAATTTCTAAAGCTGCCGCACAAGAGCCCGTTTCTCCAAATGCTAAGTCTAAATGCTGCTCCATTGCTTGCTTTTATTGTTAACACTACTTTGATTTTTATTCCTGTATTATTATTAAAGCATATCAGTCCCTGCTACAGTGCTCCCTCTATGTTTAGGACCAGATACAGGAACGCAGACAGTTGTCATTGTACATGTACATGTTTGTGTGTCTAGGTGAGACTGGGAATTTTGAGAATGCCTTTGACCTGAGCGGTGTGGAGCTGTCTGGGATGCCTTTGGCCTTCTACTCAGGGATGTATGCTTACGCTGGGTGGTAGGTATGGTCCTTACAAACATACATGTGAACACCCACACTCATATTCACATATGTACATCCATTTAACAAACTCTTACGATCGTCAGCCCAGCTCTGTATTAACACACATGGATTACCTTGGGTGTTCATGAATACTCGGGTCTTTCTGCAGGTTTTATCTGAACTTTGTGACAGAGGAGGTGGAGAGGCCCGAACGGTGAGTTTTATCTCTGTGTTTGTTTTGCTCATATTTACACTGTGAATTTAAAACATGAAATAAAATATGGTCTCATGGCAGATACTACAGTTTATACCCAGAATCTTATTATTATGTTTCAACCGCTGCAGTGGCAAACAATTGACTCTTTATAATCAGTTGGGTCCACATTTAAAGCTTCTTTATATCTTGACTTGTCAGGACAGTGTGGCTTATTAAGATTGTTTGAAAAAGAAAAAAAAAGAATGCTTCTCTAATATTTATTATATAATATTTAATTGACCCTCCAAGGTTTCACACTGAGGTTTGGTTCTTGTTTGTGCAGCACAATGTGATTTGAATTACCCCCTGAAATCTGTCAGCTCAGTGTATTTCTAGTGTGAGAGCCTCCCATCCTTTCCTGAGCAGAAAAAAAACTGAATAAAGGAGAGGCAGAGCTTATACATGAAGGTCAAATAGAGGTGAGTTAAACAGGTGAATGACAGTGTCTCTGTTATTACCTCTACTGCCCTCAGGACTGTGCCGTTAGCCATCTGTATCTCCATGGGGATTGTGACTTCCTGCTACGTGCTAACCAACGTGGCGTACTACACGGTCATGTCAGCCGAGGAGCTCCTCGCCTCAGAAGCCGTCGCTGTGGTAAGAGAAACTTTTAAACCAAGAAAGAGAGGACCTGAAATATGACTTTTTGGGGGTTTTTTTGTAATACAAACATTCAAAAGTCTCTGTCATAGTTAAAGCTCCACTCAGTATAATTTTGCTGCGTAGATTCCTGACACCAAAACAAATAAAAGAAATAAAATCATTAAAGGTCAACTTTAAAATATTGTCCAAGTCAAATCCATTTAGAGTCAGGGAACTGTGTAACTGAAATCTCTGTATAAAAGGGACAAGGACCAAAACCAAGACTGGATAGTCCTGATCTTCAGGCTCTCAGGCAGCACTTCATTCAAAACAGACGGACTCTGTCGTGGAAATCACTGCATGGGCTAAAAAAAACACTTCCAAAAACAACAGTCTGTAAGCATCCATAAATCAAGGTTAAAACAGAACCATGCGAAGAGGAAACCAGACATGAACATGATGTAAAAACAAAGACTTTAACCTGAGTCCTATCTTTTTGGAAATTCGTGGATGCTGTATCCTTAATTTTAAACAGTAGAGGGACCACTCAGCTTGTTTTTACCTCTCAGTTCAAATCCAGCATCCCTGATGGTATGGGGATCATCAGAGTCCATGTCATGGGTATCTTTCACATCTGTAAAGGCTCCATTAAATATCTACAGGTTTAGGAGTAACATCTGCTGCCATCCAGACAATGACTTTTTCAGGGAAGACCTTCATATTTCAGCAAGACAATGACAAACCACAGTCTGCATTATTACAACAGCATGGCTCTGTAGTAGAAGAGTCCTGCTGATAAACTGGTCTGACTGCAATCCTGACTTGTCAATCAAGAAAAACATTTGAAGTATCATGACAAAAAAAGGAGACCCTGTGATGTTTGCTAGTCTGTGAATGAGGCCTGATCTCAGCGCTACAGAGATCCTCTCATACTTTGATTTCTCACTGTTTTGCTGAGTCAAACACAAACGGTTCTTCTCTCTATCTTGATCAATAATGGACGGTGAAAAACATTATTTTGTCCTAGTACACAACCTTATATTTCTACAAACCCTCTGCCTGTAAATGGATCACTGATACCTGTTTCACTTACAGTAGAAATGTGAGGTCATGTATATGAGGTGCTATTAGCGATGTTCACTCCTGATTTTAGCCCCCCTGTTGGCTTCCTGCTCCTAACACGTCATTATTAGCCGGGTGTCTCTGTCAGCCGGCCTTCCCAGCAGCTGTTAATGTGATTGTTGGGGCTCAGCTCTGTTAATGCTAATCACATCAAAACCAGCCTCTAATAACACAGGGCTGAGTATCAGACAGAGGGCTGCCATCACAGAGACGCTTCACTCTGAGATGTGCTCTTTTCTAACACAGTTAGTGTTATTGGCCAGTGTAGGATGAGTGATAGCAGCGCCTTAAGAAATGTGTTAAAGGTGCTAATAGCATTATGTCTTCTTAGAAAGCTGTGATGGAATAAAGACTTTCTCCGGTCTTCCTCTCTCACAGAGTGATGATAAAGTTTACAACTCAAACTTCATTACAGACTTTAACTCATGTCCAGGTCTCGTCTGGAGGAGGCCGGCCTGAGGACACAGAGAGTAATGTGAGATGGTTAAATTACAGGTATGCTTCCTTGATGTTAGAGTGTAAGGAGTGATGGATGGAAAAGGATGAGCGTTTAAACTGTGTACTTATCATTGTTAGTTTGAAAAGTCATCAGACTGTAATGTTAAACCATGAACTGCTTTGTAAAGAGGGCCAAAGAGAGGGGATGATGTGAACTTCTTTAGGTGAAGGTGTGTAAGAGACCGCAAGCTGTTTCAAACTGTCAGGAGAGTCAAAGATACAGGAGAGGAGAATTAAGACCAGAACTTTTGTATATGAGCTGATTCCAATGAAGCTGGAGCAAACTGAGTCTTAAATTAAGTTCAACTGTGTTGGTCCCCATATAAGAAGGAGGCTAAAGGTGTGGAGGCGGGCCTTAAGCTGCCTTACAAATAGTGTGCCCAACTCTGATAGGTCAGCCATGCTTTTGATTGGCCATTCTCATAACCTGAATATCTCTAAAACAATTGTGTTAATAATGATGATAAACATACTACTACTACTACTACTACTACTACTACTACTACTACTACTACTACTACTAATAATAATAATAATAATAATAATAATAATAATAACAACAACATTAATAAAGTAGCTCTCTGTGCCGAAGGGGCTGTGGAATCCCTGAACTAATTGGACCCAAACCGTTTTATTAGCAATGAGAAACAGGCTGCAAATGAAAAGAACACACTGTAAAACACCAAATCAGCTGCATGAACATCAAAAGAGTTGCAAATACACTAATGGCAAAATGCAGAAAAGCAGAAAGCAGCTGTGAATCAAGATAAAATATATCAAATGATATCAAATAATGCTACCTTTCCACATAAACAAGTTTAATGTGTACTCTTCTTCACTGTTCCATAAATAACAAAGTCATGTAAACCAGCACCCCCACAGGCCTAGAGTACCTTCATGTATTTGTTGGTTTTATTTGTTCTGCATCTGCTGTTGTGTGTTTTTTGCTTTGTGTAATTTGTGTACTTGCAGTGCTTTTGCTGTTTATGCAGCTGTTTTGACTTTTTGCGGCACTTTTTTTTTTTTTTTTGCAGTATTTCGACTGTTGTGTTTGTTTTTGGTTTTTGCATGTGCTATTTAAGTTGTGTTTTTTCTGCATTTGTTGTGCATTTAAAGATTGTTTGGACACTTGCCTGTCAGCCACATGTTTAATTTAAAGCATGATTTATGTACAGGAGATACGCCTGCTTTTGAAGAGAGGCAAATGAGATGGGCCCCTTTGAGTATAAACATTCAGAGCAGTTAAAGCAGGGGCAAAAACTGAAAAACCTCATTACAACTTCATGTCCACCTGTCAGTGTTAATGTTATACTAAGAGAACCAGGCTCACCAAGGCAACAATTAAAACACAATGACTGTTCCTCTGTCTGATGATGGAGGCCTTTTTGTGGACATGAACCTTATCATGTCTGCACACAGTATCATCTGTATTGTTTCCAGCTCATACAAATCCTTGGTTTTCAGGTGTAATCCTGTTTGAGTAGGTGTAATGAATGAAACTCAGCTTCATGTCTGATAATTTCTTTCTATAATCTCATAAGAACATTAAACATCTCAAACCAAATCCTAATATTATTGCATCATTAAAGAGGGGGGCCGTAATATAACATTAAATGACATCACCTTTGTTGTAAACACACATGTAAAAGATAAATCCTTTTACAGTCCGCTCATACATGGATTGTGGACGGTGACTAATCAGCTCTGAACGGCTCCATGAATAATAATCAGCTATTCTCCCACTTGCATGTGACCCATTTATGACAATTACAGCGAGAAGTCCAGCCAGTTGCTCCACATCTAACCCTAACTTCATGAAAAAGACTAAACCAGTTCAGTAAAGCGAGGACTGGAAACTTTGAAACATGTTTGCGGAACCTGCTGCTCTTCACAAACAGGTTTTGATCAGGTTTGACTCCAGACTAGTCAGACTGACTTTCAGCTCAGACACTGTAAGATCCCCTCTGACTTTATCTTCAAGTGATTTGATGTAGTTTGTTTCGTTTGTGGCTGAAGAATGTGTTGTACTAATACTGGACCAGTCTGAGTTTGGTGCATCACCAGCAATTATGGTCTCTAGCATTTATTTATTTACTCCTTTATTTATTATCCCTATTCGTTATTACCATACTATTAGAAATACAAATATTTACAAAACAAAACAGAACAGATTTTTATTCAGGGACTGACAAAAAAGTTGTGGGTCAAAACTGTAAAATATATCAATCCTCTCATGAAATGTCACACATAACTCAAACAGATGATTGCATTACTAATTGTGATTGTTTGAACTGGTTTAACTAGTTATTTTAGTTAAATGTAGCAATAACGATTGTGCAATAATGACAGTGAATCAGTGCCACCTGCTGTTATGCAAATGAGATAGACAACAGGTGGATAGATGAGACAAATAGCATGATGTTTTACAATTGGTGGTCTCAGATCGTTTTCCTCTTCTCATCCTTTCTGGATGATTCTTGGCAAGTTTTGAATTTTTTCTGCGCTCTCACCACTATTGATTACATAAGGGTTGGATTTGCAGCCCACAGAAGTTGCTCAGGTAGTGCAACTCCATCACACTCCCCTCATCCAGCAGTGTAGAGCCAGATGTGCAGCTTTGTCTTTAACTGGATCTTTGGTAGATCTTGTTTTGAAGTGCTGAAGCCGTTTGCCATCCAGTGATTAAAGTGTGATAAAACAAAAGGAAAGATTTTCTTAGTTAACTTCTTTAAGTCACATGTGAGGTTTGTTCCTTCGTGTGCCTCCTTAAATTGGTTATATCTTAGTAAATGGAGTTACTGTGTCTCTATCTCTATGTATCAGAGATTGTAAAGACATGATTGAGAGACGATAAAGAGATGATACAGAGGTTTTAGTGGAGGCAGCTTTCAGTCACATTTCAAGTCAAATCTCCAAAACAACAATTTGGACACATTTTGGTCCAATCTGTGAAATTTTAGATCCAGTACAAAGCAAACAGTAAAACTTCTTCAATAGTAAAAGTTTTTGACATATTCTTAACTCTTCACCCTGAGAGGCCAAATCAGTAATCAGTGTGTAAACCTCTAAAGCAGACAGCATGATGTCAAAAGAAAGATGTCTCCAGCTCTGCCATATGTCCTCATTTATCTTGCATCATTTATTCTTCCTCCCTCACTCCTCTGTCTGGTTTTATTTTCTTGTTGGCTGTAGACGTTTGCAGAGAAGCTGTTGGGAAAATTCTCCATTGCTGTGCCGGTGTTTGTAGCTTTGTCCTGTTATGGCTCCATGAACGGCTGCCTCTTCGCTTTGTCAAGGTACCTTGAATACTTCCTCTATCCTAGCCATCACATTGACAGCATGAAGAAATATGAATATATTTTAAGGGAAACCTTCAGCACAGCATCATACTGTTGGTTTATTTAACTGCGCAATGCAAGACATGGCAAATAATAAAGCAGACAGACAAATAAAGAGCATGGACATCACTCTACTGGGATGGACATTTTATAGCAACTTAGTTTTTACCTTGTTATATTGTAAACTTTGACAAAGGAGCCAATTTTGGGGCTTGTTGTTTTATAAGGGGCAGGTTGTATTGAATAACTTATTCATTTGTGATCCAAAACAATATTACCATTATTTTCATGTTGTAACAAAACCAGAAACGAGATAACCCAAAATCAGAGCACATTTGTCCTGTTTTTTCATCTGTGGTCTTTCATTTTCTCCTTTTACCATTTCAAATTCTTCTTTTGCCATTTTCAACTAAAAAAAGGCATGTGGCTAATCTCTTTTTTTAATACTCCTCTTATTATTTCTCAGTTACAGCAGGTAGAGGAGCTTTACCTGACTTTAAATTCCATCATTTCTATATTCCCACAACCTTTCAGATTTCCCATCTGCCGTGGAAAACTTGATAGTCAGGCTACTTTAGCCAAATGACAACAGTTTTAACCTTTTTTTTTCTCTCTCCGTTTTAAAGTAGAGAAGAAAGATGTAAAACAGGCAATAGTGTTTTGGTTTATTTGATTCAGGCCATAAAACAGTTACCCTGTTTCTGGTTTTTGGACAGCAAGGAGGAGGTGGAACTGTTTGTCTACAAAGAGGAATACTGAAAAAGATGCTGTAAAAATGTCAGTCTCTGCAGTACAGTAGTCAGTTGTAACAGAATTCAGCGCACAGGATGACTTGGACTGATGATTATTAAGTCATGACCAGAGGCAGCGGTGGACATGATAGGCAGACATGATGAATGTCAGAGAGTTACCCAAAACCTTGAAGGGTCATCTCTACTAGTTACAGTAGTACAATTACAGTATGTCCAAAGTCACCATTGAAAGCACTTCAATAAAGTGAGAACAAGGATGTCAGAATCCCACCTTGAAATGCAAGTTTGTGAGTACCTTTACAGGAACAGTTGAAGAGCAAGCTGTGCTGATTAAAAACAAAGACATGAGACAAGGAAATGTTATTTTGTTGGACATTTTGTGAGTGATTAGGCCCTAAAGACACCAGCCAAAGGAGCTAACTTGGTTATACTCTTCATGTTGTGTCTCTGCTGTCCAACAGCTCTCACAAAGAAACTGTTTAAACTCACAAAATCACAAAAACTGATATTTTGCCAAGTTACTTCATGATATCATTGAGATGAGGCAGTCAATCAGTCAATCAGGTTTGATGCATATTGTATCATAGAGTCATTGCTGTTACCCAGACTGTACAGATACAGTGATGTATAATTTAGAGTGGTGATACAAATAATAATGGAGAGTGTTTCATCAGGTCACCTCCTCTGTTTGGAATTTTTTTTTACCTCTAAAAGGGAGTTATTTTTAAAAGATATTAAACAAAGTTTAGTCTGTGTTTACTCAGAAAACAATAACCTGCTCTCAAGCAGATCATCCGTATAAAGTCAGTGTGTGTGTGTGTGTGTGTGTGTGTGTGTGTGTCTACAGGATGTTCTTCGTGGCGTCTCGTGAAGGTCAACTCCCGGAGGTTTTGTCAATGGTTCACATCCGCAGACACACCCCTCTGGCAGCTGTCCTCATACTGGTCAGTTCACTGTGCAGGCAACAGGATCTGTTTAAAACCATTTCTCATCACAACACAGACTTTTATACTCACTGAGGGAACATCTACATGTGTATAAAGATATGATAAACACTGATTCTTTCTTTGGGGCTGATTCCAGTGATGAGTTTTTGAACACTTTTCTGTCTCCATGACAACACAGGAACAGTTTGAAACATTCACATAGGCATGCTGAACTTCATGAGCTTCCTTGTGAATGCGCAATGAAACTGAACGGAAGCTACAACAACAGCTTTGGAAACTGGACTTCAATTTTGATACCTGTGTGTGTGTGTGTGTGTGTGTGTGTTGTGCGCAGTACCCCATGACCATGCTCCAGCTGTTTGTTGGAGACATCTACGGTCTGCTGAACTTCATGAGCTTCCTGCGCTGGCTCTTTATTGGTGTGGTGGTCCTGGGCCTGATTTACCTACGCTACACCAAACCTGATCTACCCCGCCCCTTTAAGGTGCGCCTTGTGCACACTTGTGCACGACTCATCTGGTTCTTGAGGCTCTGTTTACCCTTTGTTAATGCACGTTTCTGCATCTTTGTCATATACGGTGTGTGCTGATGGTAATGCTTCATCCTGATTGGTCCTCAGGTGCCGCTCTTCATCCCTGTGGTGTTCTGCTTCACCTGTTTCTTCATGGTCTTCCTGTCTCTGTACTCCGACCCCATCAACACAGGGATCGGGTTTGCCATTTCCCTCACTGGGATCCCTGCCTACTACGTCTTTATCTACTTCACGGACAGGCCAAAGTGGTGTCAGAGGGCACTGGGTGAGTCCTAAAAACTGATCTTTATTACAGCAATGGGGACTCACAGTCAGCTGATTACATTACCTTTATAGTTGAAATGTACACATTTAACATGAGGAACCCTGAACTTGACTCAGTGAGGATGTTGGTGGCGTATAAAGTGCAATAAGCAGTGAACACAATGCCTCACAAAGGTATGATTTATACTACATTATACCCTTTGAATCCTAGATTTCATAACTTCATAACTTTACAAACCCCACAACTTTACCCAGTTATGAAGATTCAGAGAGAACTCGTTCATTGTGTCTGAAGAAGTTATAATTCCCTTGACTTTTAGATGGAGGCAGTAACAGAACATAATATAAGAGTTTAAACAGACTCTTGAAACTTTGACCTTTTTTTTGCAGGAACAGTAGCAGTTTTTAATATTTCTTTGTTCTACATAAGAAACCTTCAAACTGAAGCAATGCACAATGCAATACAACAGCAATGCTAATGAGACATTGCAAATATTATCTCTGTTGTACGCATGAAGGTCAGAGTTTGCAAAGCTCTGTAGTTTTAAAGCTTTGTTAACGTCTGTAAGCCCATAACACTGTTCTGTTTACAACACACACTCTCATTACGCACAGCATGAAAAATGTAATAAAAACATTAATATGTATCACGAGATATAATTTCCTTTCGCTTCTGTTTTGTTTCTTCAGATTCTTTCAACAGAAACCTGCAGATCCTGCTGGAGGTCGTCCCTGCTGAACAATAACCTGCTGACAGTTTAATGAAAATTTTACATGTTTGAGATTTCTCTGAGTTTTTTGTTTTGTTTTGTTTTGTTTTTTTTAATGTTTTATTAAAATATGAAACTTTCTGTTGTAAAAGGTTGAAGTGATTTTATACCTCAGTGTTTCCCTGAGTATCACAATGATGTACTGATCAGTCAACACTCAGCTGATCTCTGCTTTATGTTAAACAGCCCACACACACGCACACACTCTGACTGACTGTGGTTGAAGTGTCTCAGGAAAACAGCAGTTACACCTCGGTCAGTCGCTGACTCAGATGTTTCACCAATTTGTCTGACTGTGCTGTAACACTGATAACACAGACATATGTTTGTAAGAAGTCCCACACATGCAAACAGAACTGGTCATCAGTGTGGTCACCTGCTGAGACATCTGTTTTCAACGAGAGGCAACTAAGACAAATTATGACATATGAAATAAACCCCCTGTAAGACACCTGAAAGCTGCAAGTCTCACAGAGAGTGGACAAGATAGAGCTCAATCTTAGTTCTGTTTTTCCTCACCTCTTTCCTCCTTCCCTCCCTGAGCTTCTCTTCTTCTCCTGCGGTTCCATGGACGAACACATGGGGGTGCTGCCGTGCTTCACAACACTGCTGGATACTTCCTCTAAAACAATGGTTGAAAGCAGCGGACCTGTTTTAGCATGGAGCTCCACAGCCTGAAATAACATCTGAACAGGAAAAAGAAAGGATATTACTAAGGAATAAAGAAAGATTCAGAGGACACGAGCTTTTACTTGGATGGAAAAATCAGAAGTAGGAGGAGGAAGGGATGAGAAAAATAGACTAATATTTTAAAATGGACTACAGGACACTGACCCTGACCTCTGTGAATGATCAAGCGAGGGAAAAATGGAAATCTGTGTCAATGAGATTTTTGGACAGTAAAGAAATGAGATTGAAACAGAGTTTTTGAGGCAGGAAGCTCCTCTCCATCAGACAATAGAGGAAGGTTTTACTAACTGAATACTGCACCTCTTTAAAACTGCCTCCTGTTTTTGACAATCCAGGACAGGAAACCTTCCACAGATTGATTCTTTCAGTTCAAGGATGGAAACACTGGCAGAGGAAGGCTTTTCTCTTCAGTTTCTCCTGCCTAATGGCCTTATTTAACCTGAGCTTTTGTGTCAGTAAGGCTGCAGAATAAAGACTAAATCTTTACTAACTCAACTACATCCACTCATGGCTCAAACATATCTGATATTCCAGTTTAGCCTCACATAATTTGGTTTTAGAATGTCGAATTCATCTTCTTAGAGGATGGTTTGTGGTTTTACATGGTTGGCTTTAAAGCTTGGCCATATAAAAATGCAAACTAGTGTCCGTTGTGTAACCCCAGTGGTTATTATTATTATTTTTCTAACTCAGGCAAGAAATTTTTGTGTCATGACAGACTGTTTGATAACATTTCACAATCTTATTACCCATCGATGATCATCCTTCGCTATTTATAACCTTGAGGACAACAAGTGCTCTGTTCTATGCTGCAGTCTGCTGGGGAGGAAGTATCAAACATAAAGATGCAAGACGTCTAAATAAACTGGTGAAAAAGGCTGGCTCTGTGGTAGGACTCAAGCTGAACTCAGTGGAGGATGTGGTGGAGAGATCTACACTGAGGAAGGTGGAGTCTATTCTAAAGAACATGGATCACCCACTTCACAAAACCTTGATGGACCAAAGGGCCAATGGTGGTGGACGGCTCCTCTCTCTTCGCTGCAGGACAGAAAGATTCAGAAGATCTTTTGTACCAACAGCCATCAGACTTTACAACTCTTCTGTAAATAGTAGATCACTTTTAGTGACATGACAAATGAGATGACAGACATTTGAATTTCCCTTCAGGGATAAATAAAGTCCTTCTTATTTTATCTTATCTTTCTCAGAAAATCTGATGCAGCTGGTGGTTTAAAAAAAGAGCCTACCAGTCATAAAATCTTTGTTCTATGTTTGCATGTCAGCTCGTGTTATTAAACAATTGAAAATTCACACTTAATGTCTCAGAACTGAGTCATGAATTCTAATTACTTTGATAAACTAATGTGAAAACATAACCACCTCATCCTTACGAACAGTTAAACTACTTGCGTCTGTGGATGACACTGTCCTTAACGCATACATCATTTTTGGTCCAACTTCTGTTTCCTCAGCGACACAGATTGAAAATCTGCAGGTATCTGCTTACAAAACATGTCAACATATCTTTCTGTCCTGTACATTATAAACTTACATATAATTACAGCCTGAAGGGGAAACATGACGCCAAATCTTCTCAGAAAAAGTGACTCCAAGTCAGGATGGAGGAGAATTTCTTAGGGGAAATTCCTCAGCCTGATCTAAAGAAGCTGAACACATTTTGGCATGGTGTCTTTTCTCACAAAGAGGTTTAATTCTGAGGAAACTAAACATGAGCTCAGCTTCATTTCCAGAGAATTAAACTTTTTATTCATTTAGTGCCAGATGATAGAAGTTATTTAGGAAAACTTTCCATTAATACAGCATACACTTCCTTATATTTTTCTCAGACTATACACAAAATAAAAACTGTCAGTACTAGACTCATTTCATCTCTCACACATGTATCAGCTAAGGTGTTTGTGGGAGGTCGTGGTTTCTCTGTAAAAAAAAATTGGTATGCTAATTATTATGTGATATCAGATATCAGTTTGGATAAAGGTCTGTCATAAAGTCATATTTAAGTGAGGGTTCTCTGTCATTGCTGTACAGCATCATGTCAGTTAGTCTATCATCTGTCCATTCAGTCCATTTACACACTTTCACACTGTAAGTACGCTTATGTGACTGACTGTGGTTCACTGTGTATGTCCTAAAAGGGGAGGAGCCACAAGCAAACCACACAGCTTGCTTGATGCTGGGAGGGTGGGGTCAAAGGTCAACTGTGATGGAAAGTTAGTGAAAGGTGAACGAGGAGGTCAAAACTACAAAGACGTATTGTTTTATTAATGTGCATGCTCTCTCCGTGTGTGTGTGTGTGTGTGTGTGTGTGAGTGAAAGAGAGGTTTTACGATGGCTGTGACTCAGTTAGAGTAGGGGGTGATTCCTCTGGCAAAGTGTGACTAATGGGGCGTATGTGTGTTTAGGTGTGTGTGTGTGTGTGTGTGTGTGTATGTGGTGGACCTTGAGGTTCCAGGGTCATCCCCATTAACTGGAAGCAGCAGACCCCCCAGGTAAGGGAGGTGTACCCGCAGGGTTACTCATGGCCCAAATGGATGTGACAAGACTACGAGTGTGTGTGTGTGTGTGTGTGTGTGTGTGTGTGTGTGTGTGTGTGTGTGTGTGAGAGAGAGAGAGAAGAGAGAGAGCTGAATGGATGAATGGATTCACCTTTTGAAGCTTTGCTGTTTGTTTCTGTATGTAAATGTGAGGAAGAGGAGGCTGAGAGGCCCGAGGCTGCTGCTGTCAGAGCAGCTGACTGACACACACACACACACACACATAAATGCACATGCAAACTCACATGCAGCTAAAGACAGCAGTGTGTGTGTATGTGTGTGTGTGTGTGTGTGACTCAGGTCAGTGAACGCTGCTCCTCAGAGCAGTGAGGACAGCTGATGAGACAGAGGATCTAATTCAAAGTGACCACAGCTCAGCTCCATCATTACTGTCTGCTATACACACACACACACACACACACACAGAGGATGTAAACAGGTTTATTTTCCTCCTCACATGTGAATCACTGCTCTTGTTTTTACTGGACTGTTTTTGTCCTGACAACAAAAATCTAAATATCAGTTGATGAATTGATTTAGTTTCTCATCAGATTATCTGATTTTATTTAAAATAAACCACATTCAGCCAACGGGTCCAGATTCATCTTCATGTTTCACGTTATGACAATCAAAATAATAAAGCCTGAAGGTGCTTGAAAAAAAAAAAAAAAAACTTGAGGAAAATGTTTTTGTCAGGTTTCTTGAAATGACACTCACAGGCACTGGCAGTATCATAAATGTCGCTCTGGGCTGGTAACGTATCATATCAACATTAAAACTGCACCTGTCAGGTGAGTGTGTCTTATACTAAGTGTCATATATTTGGACAACAAACTGGATGAATGCATTGTCGGTAGGATTTAGGTGTTGATGTTTAGGTGTTGAAGTTGCAGAATAAACAAGAGTGGGAAGATAGAGACACAATATGAGATTTATAAAAGCATAAGAATTGATAAGAACAATATAAGTACAAAAAGGATTGAAAATCAATACAAAGCCAGACTGAACTAAGCAGGTCTGTCCTCACTTTGTTTTAGACACTTTGACAGTCTGAGCTTCTCCTAGAAAAAGATGAACTAAAGCCGATGTACCAGTTTGAAGTCCTGACATGTGGATTTAATATTCACCAACACTCTGAGAACAGTGACGTTAAATTAACTGAAATGGTTACTTTAAAAATATGAATAAAAAGGGCAGAATAATCCTTTTTGCTCTCAATGATGTTCAGAATTACAAACACACAGTAACAAAGTGGCCCTTCAGCATGTGAGCCTGCGGGCTGGACATCATCGGCCAGCTGGAGGCTCCACTTCCTGTCTCTAAACCACAGTGACCACACTACAGACAAACACCATGAGTCAGTCAGAGACATTCACACACAGAGTGAACTCACCCGCTAGCTTCCCCGTTTCTGCACTGACCTGCTTTACAGCTGACTTACAATATGAGAGCAGGAGGGGAAATCACTCCCCACCTCCTCCTTCTCCCCCCTCTCATTAAAACAAACTGATACAGTTTTGTTTTCCTGATGTGTGATTGAATTATTAAAGAAAAACATCATCCTGCTAACACTTCACATCTTCGCTTACAAAGCATCATGGGAACAATCTCATGTCAACACATACAAGATGATGACATATTAAGGGTTGTCCACTAGTGTTCCAACACTGCTACAATCCCTGGGTAAGAAAAAAATGTAAAAGGTCTTTTTATGGGTGGAAGAAAAGTACAGCAGACGACATGACGACACAAATCTGCAGGGGGACAACCTGATCTCAAGTTGGAGAAATGTGCTATAAAATTAGAAACATGCTGCAAACTGAGAAATTTGTGACGATTTTAAAAATATGCTGCAAATTTAGAAACAAGTGGCGGTCCAATAAGCATGAAAACACACTTGCACAAAAAAAAAAATAAATAAATAAATGATAATAATAATTAAATCAAGCAATTGCACTAACAGCAAATCCCTCGGGTGAGCTATGCAATCATCGTACGTCCATAGGCTGTATCAAGTGTTAATCATAGAAAACATGAACCCCCAGTAACTTTTAAAAATGGAGCTGCACAGAAAAAAAGAGGACTTGAGCACAAACCAGTCTAACTGTAACTACATGTCAACATCACAAGCAGGGGGGAGAAAAATGTATATTCTGTGTATTAAATTTCTAAAGTTTGTCCACAGCTCCGTAGGGATTGCTGGAGGAGGCAGGATTTATGACCTATACTGCAGCCCATCACCAGAGGGTGCTGTTCTTGCGGTGGCTTCACCCAGTGAGGAGGTAGACGGCGTCCTTTCTATAAACAGTCCATGCCTAATGCCAAATTTAAAAAGACAGCCAACTTTACAGCTCTGTAGCTTTCATTCAAATGATATAAGAACTTCTTCCTCTCCTCCTGTTGAGGTTTTGTTTATGACCTGGCTTCCTGCAGCACATTTATGCTGTTCAACGAGGAGGTCAAAGCCTGATCTGGAATCTGTGGAGCATGCTCAGAACCGTTATGCCAGTTTCAGTCTGATTTCTCCTATCCCGCTTACCGAGGCATAAACATGTGAGAGAAATTGACCCCCTAACAACAATATTTAAGTTTGTTAGCCCATTTATGAGCGTTAGATTTCATGTGATTTATAATAAAGGTCCGCTTTGAGTCAGACTGACACTATACATTTATTCTTACAACATGTTAACTTACTGACAGACTCTTGGAGGCTGAGAGGAAGACTTTAAGACTTTAAACATCAATCACAGTTTCACTCGCTCTGTTTCTGACTCTTATCTCAAAATTCATTAACTTTACACATATAACATTGAGACTCCAGCTGAACACAACAATAACACACTCTGTCATCATCGTGAAGACAAAACTCAAATCATCTGATACTCTCGCAAAAAGACATCTGCGTTTCCATGGTAACAGCAGGTGTAAATGAGAGGTGATGATGTGGGTGATGAGGAGGGTATAAGGCCTGCTCTGCTGTCTTCAGACTGAGCTGAGGGTTATTTTCTGAGGAGGATGGAGAGAGAGCAGATGTTTCCTCAGCCTGTATCTCTTTCTCTGTGTGGGCTGATGCTGCTGCTGCTGCTGTGAACAGAACCAGAAACACAGTAACACTCAGGATCATTTTGTTTGGCTGAGAAGATCCTCCATGACTAATGCACTGCCGCAGAGACTTCAGAAGAGTTTGATAAAGTTTTGATGCAATCTGCAGATTTCAATATTTGCCCAATGAGAGCTGCCGTCTCTGTCCGGCCCCACAAAGCCCACTCTCGTCTCAGTTTAATTGGTTAAGAAATCAAAGCAGTACAGAGAAAGGGACATGCTGGAGAAAAGGAGCTTCGAGGAGTGCTATGCGTCTGATCCTGGGTTTGTAATTGTTTCAGACTCTCTGACGGAGGGAAAGAAAGAGGCCAACGCTCTTCCCTGATGTTTTTCAGGAAAATCAGCGCAGGCGGCTGATAGGAGTCTTTGGCATCTCTCCGTCTCCCTCCCTTTGTTCATTCACTCCAGCTCCTCAGGCTGAATCTTGTTGTTTCAGGATTTGAACGCCTCTCCGCCCGCTGTTCATTAGGCCCAGCAGCTCTGCAGCATTAATCTGCTCTTTGTGAATAATGACGGCCTCCATAAAGCGCTCAGTGCTCGTCACATCCATCTGTTATTCTGAATAATGGCTTACAGCAGCCGTGCCTTACAGTACACATCGCTCACACATACTGTAGACTCATACTGACACTGACAAGTGCTGTTTGGACACCAAT